ATATTTTCTTCCAATTTTGGAATTTGATGAAATGAAACTAATCACGATTCTTGTTTCGTTTTAGTTTTCGTGTTTTTGGATTCCATTTTCAGTTCATCGTTTTTCTTCCTTTTTGATTTCAAAATAGGATATTTTCAGCAAAATTTTCATTTTCCAAATTTTTTTCTTGCTTCTTTTTTCTGATTAAAGCTTTAATGTTCGATAATTACCGAAAGTATTAGTGACATTTTTTCTCGTTTTTTGCGTTTTAGTTGATACGAGAATAGTTAACCCTCAGGATATTCAAATGAAACGAAATGAAATGATAATGATAATCGGTTTATATTATTCAAAAAAGGATCAAAGAATTTTTTTCAGAAAAACTTTTCTGAAATATTCTGTAAATGTTGATTGTATATAAAGTCATATCTAGAGAATATCTCATTAGAGAATTTTTGGAAAACATATTATGCATATGTTTTTTTTCAATGTTTTTTTTTTCTAAACAAAAATAAAAATAAATTTTCAAATCAAAACAAAAAATACAATCACATTATGTGTGTTTGTAATTAATGTTGTTGTTGTTGCTGTCGACAAAACAACAACAACAACAACACATTTATTTAATTATTCTTCTTTATCGACAAAAATCAAAGAGAAAAAAAAATTGAAAAATTGAAAATTGAAATTTTAAATTGAAATTTTAAAGCAGAAAAGAAAATGATTTTTTTCTTCTTTCTACTTTTAAACAACAGATGTGTGTGTGTGTGTAACGAATGAAAGTTTCACTTACAGTATCCGGTTTCCTGTTTTTAGTTTTTTTCCTTGATGTTTCGCAATGTTTCAATGCCAAACAAACAAACAAACAAGAAACATCTTTTTAAAAAAAGATGAATACCCGATACTGTTCAAGAAAGAATTTCCGGAATCTTACGAAAAGAGTGAGAGAAAAAAATGATGCAGATGTTTGTTTGTTTGTTTGTTTGTTGTTTTCAAAGTGTGTCTGTGTTAAAAAAAACCCGATTTTCAAATAAATAAACTTGGCGAAAAACAACAAAATAGAAGAAAAAAAAATGGTTATTGGTGATGCCACTACTGCCAGAATTTCGCTGTTGTTGTTGTTTGAATTTTGACAAAATTTCAACCAAAAAAACAACAACAACAACAAAAAAATATTGATATTTGATGCATCATCATCTTCAATCATCCATTGAATTCCATTGAATGATTTTTTTTCTTTCTTCAAAATTTTCTCAACAAAAAAAAATCCAAGATTTTCCAATTCATATTTCCATTTTTGTCAATAATGTAATATTATTATGATTATGATGAATTTACTACTGTTGTTGTTGTTTGTTTGTCGAAAAAATTCAAGAGAATTCTTGGATCTCAAAGAATATTGGAAAAGGCAATGTGAGTCAGGGAAAATGACATTCAACAAACTTTATAAAATTCTGAATTCTATCCCAAACAATGACTTTATATTCACGGTGTCATCATTAATAAACATAGAACATCGGTTTTTGTTTCTTCAATGGTCTATTTTCATTATCATTCAAAAATGTACACACAAACACACACCGGGTATACATACTTACCGGGGATACACTGGTTTGCTATATGATTGATTGCAGATTGCTTTTTAGAATTTAACCCAGTTGCAAAAAAAAAAGGTAAATAGAAATTTTTACTTTTTATTTTTGTAACTTTTTTTCACTAAACAAAAACAAAAACATGGCAAATAACACCGAACCTTCTCCCCATAAAAAACAAAATTGAATTGAATTATCATGATGAATGTCCAGCCAGCAAAAAAAATACATTCTTTTTTTTCGTTGTTTTATTTGATTTTTTTTTTTTGTTGAAAAAGCAGAAAATTAACTTTGATGTTTACACTGTGTTCTGCTCTGCTCTGCTATTTGCGTGCATGTGATTGATTACTGTGAAAACCAAAAAACATTTTGAAATTAATTTCAATCAAAATGTCAATCAAATGTAAAAATCTAAAGAATTTGATTCATTTGTTTCAATTCATTGAACAACAACAACATCATCATTATAAATTGATCCAAATAACCCACACACACACACAAAAGCATATCGTTCTTTTGTTTTGTTTTTCTTGTTCATTTATTTCATCGTCATCATCATCATCATTATAATGATGATTTTAATAGCCAATTGGTCATTATACGATGATGATGATGATGACAAAATAATTGACCAATGTCCAGAATAAAATAAAAACAAAAGCAAAACAATGCCATCTACATTATGAATGCTAATTAGAAAAATATTTTTGAATAAAAAAAAATGGTTTTTGGAAATGGAAATAAAATATGTTCATTTTTTTCATCACCATCATCATTATAAATATGGAAATAAATTTTCCAGTCAAAAAAAAAGAAGAATTACTGTTCATTGTTTTGCTTGAATAACAAACAAACAAACAAACAACAGAATTGGTTTGTTTCACCAGAAAACAGAAATGAAAGAAAAAGAAAATTAATCCAAACATTGAATTCAGGACCCGAAAAAAATATGGAATTTCATTTGAATATTTTTTTTTTTTTTTTTTGGTTATCATTATTTGTTATTGAACAAACAGAATCAGAATCGGATTCTATCTTCGGAAAAAAAACAAAACAAATGAGATTAATTTCACAACAACAACAATAAAAATCTATCGATATTTGAAATACCAGAATCCAGAAAAATAACAAACAAAAATTCAAAATGCAAATGAAACAAACGCACACACACACAAAAGGCATTTTAGTTAGATTAGATTTTCGTTTTCAGATTCTTGTGATTCAGGACAGGAATTCTATTTGTCATTATTATGTAAAGTGTTAAAAAAAAGAAAAAGAAATTCTTGACACTTTGAAAACAAAACGACCAACAAAAAAAAGGTTGCTGTAATGGACTACATGATCCCATCGAAAATACATTCCGGTTTTTTTTGGGATCCGTTTATTTATTTTGAAACAAATACACAGACCATTATATGGCTATTTTGTTTGTTTGTTTGTTGTTTTTTTTCAAACAATCAAATCGATTGATTGAGATTTTGCGTTAACAGAAAAAAAATTCTGGTCTTTTGAAACAGTCAGATTTTCGATTTTATTTTTTTTTGGTTTGTTGAATATATGGTCTGTTTCTTTTCTCCCTATTCCTGGTACCAACCAAGACAACAACAACAAAAAAAATCAATCCATCACTTCCATCAACTAACTAAAACATACCCCGAACGAAAGAAAAGATAAATATTAAGAAAGACAGAAGAAAAAAAAATAACCGGCTATCCGGATAAATAAAAGGAAAATAAATAAATAAAAAAATCCTGACATTTGATTTTGACATTCAAGAAAATGACTGAAAAAAAACGAAAATTCATTCGTTTGACCAGGGAAACTGTACATAAGCAAACATTATTATCATCAATGTCAAACCAACCATTTGGCAAAAGAGTGGGAGAGAAAAATGAAATGAAATAAATTTTGACATTTTAAAACAACAACAAACAATAACCATAATTTGTAACGATAAAATTTAAATTAACTATATTAAAGTATTAAAAAAAAAATCTCTGTAAATATAAATTTTGGTTGTCATCATACGATAAATGTTTTTGTTGTTGTTGTTTGAGCAATTTTCCCCCCGTTCGATAAATGATGATCAAAGGAAAAAAATAAACAAACAATTTCGACCATCCTTTAATATCATTTTCTTTCTTTTCTTTTCTTGTTTGTTTGTTTGAAAGAAAATCTGTTTCCCAGATATTATTTTTCATTTATTATCATCTTTGATCTTCTGAAAGATGACGATGATATTTTCATCCAAAAAATAATAATTTATGATCCTTGTCTATTATTTATTTATTATTTATTCTGCAAAAAAAAACGAAAATATTGATTTTTAATCAAAAAAAAAAAAAAATTACAAATATAAATTTACGATATTTACAACGTCATCTTTTGGTCAAAGATTTAATAATTGAAACACATCACATCACTAGATGGCATTAATGTACACAAATACAAATATATTTATTTTTTCGACGACAAGGACTTTTTTTTTGTTTTCTCTTCTATAAATCAGACTTGCGCATTTTCAATTTTTTTTGTTTCTGTATATTTTTCCAATTTCGTCGTAATATTTTTCGTATTTCGTATTTTCTTTTTTTTCTTTTTTTTAGTTCATCATATTTACCACTCTTTTTTTCCCTCAATGTATATGTGTGCGATTTGAGTATTTGTTTTTGTTTGGCTTGGTTGGATTGATTTTTTTTGCTTGACTTTCATCGTTGTTTGTTTGATTTCGATAACGATTGGTTTTATTTTTCCGTTCTATTGTATTTCGATCTATTCTGGCTATGATTATTATGACGATCTTATAATTTTTTTTATTGGTTTGAAAATCAAATATAAAAATGTTTTGATTTTCTGATTTCTGGTTGCTGCTGCTGGAGCTGATGGTTATGATGATGATGTGAAAAGAAAATGTATCCCAAAAAATCAATTTTGATGAATTGAAATTGAAATTTTTGGAAAGCAAAAATAATTGAAAAAAAACTAAAAAAGGAAAAACTTAATAATTATGAATTTATATTGACAAAACGATTATTCAAATTCTCAAACGGATTGGATTGTTTGTTTGTTTGTTGGGTATGTTTTGATTATGATTAAATTTTTTCCATTAACTTTGCTGTTTTTTCCATACAGATCGAATGGAATGATTCGATTTTTTGTTTTTTGATTCGAAAAATCAATCGATCAACATCCGAAGAAAATTTGGTTTTTTTTGTGTGTGTGTCCAATCCATTTGAATTGTTTGTTTTTTTTTTTTTTTTTTTTTTTTTTTTTTTCGTTTTTTTTTCCTTTTTAATTTGGTTAAAAAAACCAACAAAAAAAATAGTCCCCATNTTTGCTGTTTTTTCCATACAGATCGAATGGAATGATTCGATTTTTTGTTTTTTGATTCGAAAAATCAATCGATCAACATCCGAAGAAAATTTGGTTTTTTTTGTGTGTGTGTCCAATCCATTTTAATTTTTTTTTTTTTTTTTTTTTTTTTGTTTTTTTTTGTTACGTTTTTTTTCACTTTTAAGTTAGGTTAAACACACACACACAAAAATTAGTCACCATTATCTGTACATATGATTCTTCGACCCTAGAAGAAACAAAAAAAAAACAAACCTAGAAACAATGAATTTAGAAATTTTTTAAAAACTTAGAGAAAAATCGAATAGAATCTCAGATCATTTATATATTTGATAAAGTAAGTTAAAAAATTTCGGAGTTTTTTTTCATTAACAAACTCATTTCTCTAATGATAATAATAATAATTCTAGATTATCGATCTGATGATTTGCTGCTGCTGCTGCTACTCTGTATTGATCTAATAAACGAAACGAAAAGAAACGAATTTACTTTTTTTGGTTGATAATCTACCACCTTTCAATCTAGAATATCCAATCTACTTATTTAGAATTTAATGTTGTAAAAAAACAAATACCTCTTGCCTTTTTTAAAAAATTGGAAAAGCAAAACACCGAAGAATTGAAAAAAAGAAAAACAATATCGTTCATAATGAACAATTTTGGTTATAATCATAATCATCATGAAAATCAACAACAACAACAACAGAATTTATTACAAAATGGCAACAACAACAACAACAATAATAATAACCATCAATTAATACGTACGAATAATGTTGTTGTTAATAATAAAAAATTTCGTAAAAATGAATTTCGACGTTCAAATTTAAATTCAAATAATAATCATAATCATCATCATTATAATTCGAATAACAATAACATCAATAGTAATAATAATAATAATAATCGTAATCATTATCAATCAAATTCAAATAATCAATTATATAATAATAATAATAACCATAATGGTAATAATCAAAATGTTAATAATGTTGATGACAATGGTGATGATGGCAATGATGATGATGTTGATAATGATAATTTACAACAAACAATATCGATTATAAATAAATATCCAATCAATGATGATCAATCATCATCATCATCATCATCTGCATCATCATTCAATAATAAATTGTCAAAAATATCGAAAAATCAAACTATAATCAATATTCAAGATCAAAAACAACAACAACAATCATCAACATCATTATTGGTAGCATCGAATTTAATGTGTTTTTTCTGTTTTGATGTACTGTATGCACATCTTTATCATAAACAACCACCTGGACGACCTGATTTTACAAATAATTCATAGTATGTGGATGATGATTTTACAATTACAAAAATTTTTAATTACTTAATTAATTTTTGTTTGTAAATTAGTCCATTATTTGTAACATGGAAAATTGGTCAAGATAAACGTCTACGTGGTTGTATTGGTACATTTACGGCTATACCACTTCATGTTGGTCTTCGTGATTATGCATTATCAAGGTTTGTTTTTGTTTTTCTCTGGTAAATTAATTAGAATTTTTTTTCAAAAATAAAAAACAGTGCATTACGCGATAGTCGTTTCAAACCGATAACTAAAGATGAATTCAATAAACTACATGTTTGTGTTTCATTATTGATGAATTTTGAAGATGGCAATGATTATTTAGATTGGATTATTGGTGTTCACGGTATTCGTATCGAATTTCGTAATGAAAATGGTATAAAACGTACGGCAACATATTTGCCTGAAGTTGCTACTGAACAAAGTATTAAATTTGAATGAATTTGGATAAAAATTTTTACTTTCTAAAATTTTTTAAAAATTATAGATTGGAATCACATACAAACAATTGATTCATTATTACGAAAAGGTGGTTATCGTGGCCAGATTAATGAACAAATACGAAAAGATATTCGTTTAACACGTTATACAAGTGAAAAAATTTCAATTAGCTATCAAGAATATCATAATTTTTGGATTATACAGAATAATAATGATAATCATCATAATCATAATCATCATACATTTACAGCAGCAAAAATTTATTATTGATTTTTCAATTATTATTTTTTCAAAAAATAGGCAAAACAAAATATATATCGATAACCAATCAATCTTTTCTTCAACAAAAAAAAACCCCTTTTCCCATGTAATTTTAATTAGGTCAACAAAAAAAAGAAATTAATTAATTAATTGCCAATTTGTTTGTTTTATGTTTTATGTTTTGTTTTTGATTTTAAATGAAATGAAATGAAAGAAAATAAATTTTTTGTTTTCGATTGAATATATTCTTCTCTCTCTGTATATGGACATGCGTAAATTTTTAAAAGTTCATCATTTTTTTAGCATCGTTTCCTATATATGCTATATAACGGATTCAATAACGGAATTGGAACGGATTTGGCTCAGAATGGATGTATGTTGGATGTTTGGATGAATTTCGATGTTTTTGGTGTTTTGGATGATGTTTGTTTGTTTGTTTGTTTGTTTTTTGTAATTGTTAATAATGATTAAATTAATATTATCACCATATTTAATGTTGATTATTATTGTTGATCATAATATTCAACCAATTTTAACTATAACAACAACAACAACAACTAATAATAATAATAATAATAATGATTTAATTAAACAACAACAACAACAAACAAATGAATGGCCATTAAGATTTCATCATAGTCCATGGTTACATAAAGAATTTATTGTTCGTAATCAATATAATAATAATAATCATTATAATAATAATAATTATAATGAATTTGATGATAATAATGATATAATGGATTTAGATTTTGATCAAAATATTTATTATGATGATGTTGTTGTTGATGATAATTTGGATCAATATAATAATCATCATCAACAACAACAACAACAACATTATCATCCATCATATAATCATCATCAACAACAACATCATTATAATAATAATAATAATAATGATAAACAACAAAGAAAAAAATTGATTGATACATGTGATGATCCGGATGGTGATGGTTGTAATCGTTGTTTTCAACCATCCATTCATTGTGAACGTAAATTAAAATTAAAAAAACAATTACTAGCTGAACATTTACCTGGATCAAGTTTAACTGTTGATGAATTATTAAGTATATCACGTGTTGAAAAAATGACTAAAGAAGAAAATCGTAAAACAATGACATTTCAACGTTGTTTATATCTGAATGAATCATTAATCGATGAAATTTGTCATTCGGATCGTCGTTTAATGCGTAAAGATTTATTAGAAAATCTTCATTTAAGATCATGTCGTCGATTTAAAATTGAACGTAGTTTAAGTAAACATCTTTATTCATTAGTTATAAATTCAACTGATTGTTCAAGAATATTAAAAGAATTAATAATATTGGATAATTTAGTTGAAGATTTAGCATGTGAATATGAATCAATATTACATCGTTATGATTGCCAAGCTAAATGGTCAGTTGTATGGACATGTCGTGATTGTAAATTAGCATATAGAGATTGGCTTTGTTCAGTTATAATACCATATCATTTATATGGTAATCTTATAAAACCATGTCAAAGTGTTTGTGAACAAGTACAACAAAAATGTCCACATCTTCATCCATATGGTAAAGGACAATATGCTGGTGAACCGGTATTTCTTTGTATTGGTATGGATAATTTGTTTTGTAAAGTTTTTGTTAAGTTTTTTAATGATTATTTTTTCCTCACATCAAACCAGATCCAAACATACCATTTAATAAAAAAATAACACCAAATATACCATTCGGTGATGAAGGAAAATGTTATGATCAATGTGATTTAGAACCATGTTATAATGATGAAAATGAATCACCTGTACTTGATTGTCCAAATGTTCAATCATCATTGTCATCATCTAAATCTCAAAAACCATTCAACGAAATGATCGATAATGATAATAATAATGATGATGAAATTCAATTGATCGATCAATTTAATGAAACAGCAATTTTTGATTATAGTGCCGAACAATTCAATACAGATATGGATATGATTGATAATGATAATAATAATGAAATGATTGATGATAATTTTGATGATCAACAACAAACAACAGAATTTTCATCATTATCATCATTATCAACAACAACACCTATTGAAGAAATTGATTTAGGTGATAATTTTTTCGATGATACTGATAGTGGTGATGATAAAATAATGATGATTGCTGCAGGTAATGCACAATTACAAACAATGACAACAACAACAACAACATCGTCAACATCGACAACATTGTTAACTAAAAAAACAAAAAAATCAACAACAACAACAAATCAACCAAATAAACAATGGATTAATGATGAAATTGATGATGATGATGATGAATATACAATATCTGAACAACAACAACAACAACAAACAGCAGCTGAAGCTTCTGTATCAATCATATCATCATCATCATCGGAAATTATTGGTAATTTTCAATCATTATCATCACAATCTGTACAGGAAAAATCATCAAAAATTATTAAAATTAATGAAAAACAATTAAAATCGGAAAAATTACAACAACAACCACAACAAGAAGTACAAACATTACCACCATCATCGTCATTACCATTATCATCGATTACAACAACAACAACAAATCCATCAACAATTGATCCACAAATCTATGTACAGGAAATATATCGTGAACAATTATCACAATCAACTACAAATGATCCATTTGATACGATTATTAATGAACAACAACAACAACAATTAAACGATGAAATTAATATTGTTGTTAAAGATTTTCTTGAATCACAAAACATAATGAAATCAATTGATCAGAAACATTGGTCAAAATCATCATCATCACCTACAACGACAATATCATCATCGGAATCGACAAAAACAAAAACAACAACAGAATCAATTATAAGTGAAACAATGCCACCAGCAGGTACTGAATCAACATTGATCAATAACAACAATAATGTTAAACAACAAACATCGGATAATATTGTTAATAATACCATTAATAGAAATATTTCATTACAAAATAATAATCATCTATATCGACATTATAATAGCCGAAATAAGGATAAAAATTTACAACCAAAACAACAATCAAAATTTTTCGATAACGATCAATTGAATTTATCGATTGAAAACTCTCAACGATCACCAAGAGCTGCTTCATCAACAAAAATGGAAAAAAATTCTCAATCATCATTATCATTATACAACCAATTCATTATATTATTATTAATCAATATAATTATCATTATGTAAATGTAGTTTTTAAAAAATAAATAAATTTAAATTTAAATTTGAAACAAACAAAAAACAACAATTTGAATGAAAGGCACAACATTTAATTTTTGAATACTTTGATCGGTTTATATCATAAAAATTGTACAGAAAATTCATATAAATAAAAGGCAATAGTAAGCAAAATAGTACCCAATAAATCACCAAATGCTGTTAAATATGGTATTGATGAATCATCAGGATTATGTCCATATTTCCATAATTTCATAATAATTATACCGGTTATTAATAGTAAAATTAATACCTGTATAAATGTTGAGATCAAATAAATGGGTAAAAATAGCCATAAATATTTGGATGGATGTTGATGGTCATTGAATTGATTTAATAATACAAAAAATATTAAATGAAATGGCATTACAACCGATAATAATGTTTGTGTTGATAGTGAATGTTGATCTTTATTCATTCAAAAAAAAACAAAAAAAAACAAAATTAGTCATTCAAAACATATTTTCAATTAAATTACCTTTTCCAATAAGAAAAGCAAACAAATTATGTCCATCAAATTGTTTGACTAGACGTAATAATTTACTATGGGAATTTTCCTGATTAAATGTACGTATCATATGTAAATTTGATGATAAACGTGATGCTTGTATGGCGGCAATATTACCACCAACACCATTCATTAATGGTTGATATGCAGCAATATCATCAAAACGAATAACCGAATAGCTTAATATAAAACCACTAATACTTGATATAAACATAGCAATAAACATTGGTATCCAACAACGTAAACCAAGTGATGAACCGGTTGATAAATGTGAACGTGCCACATTAGCTAACCAATTGACTAACAATAAACTAATGATAACAATTATCACCAATATAAACCACCAATCATCTGTCAACAAACAAAAACAGTTATTAATCTTTTGAGATATTCGGCAAGGAAAAACACAAAACAAAAAACAAACCCATAATCGAATAGAAAATTGATGCAATCACATAAAGAATTGCCAATGTAACTAGATCACCTAATGCAGCAGCAATTGGTGTTGCTACATTATCCGGATTAATATCATGTTTGATTGTCCAACAAATTACCAATATCATTATGGTTGCTATTAAAAACACAAATTATAAACAAGTTAGAAGTTTATATTTACAAATATATAAAATATATAAAATTCAATAAATCTAATGACAAAAACAACAAAATTACCAAGCAAAAGACTAGTTAATGAAGCTGTAATAATACTTGTTGCACAAAGCATCGGTATATGATTAAAATGGATTGTTGATGTTGAACGATTATAATAACCATTAAACATATTTGTTGATGATGAATAAAATAGATTGACCAATAATGCAAATAAAGCGGCAGCAAAACCGATTACAATTGATTGACACTTATGGATACATGTGAAATACATGAACAACAACATGAACAAAAAAGTTGGTTAAAAATATATGAACAAAATTAGTTTGTTAGTCAAACAAATAGTGAAATTCGAAATTATCATTATTATCCGAAAATACATGCATACCTGTACAAGTGCAATATTTGATCGAAATATTTGTAAACGATTTTCTTTATTTAATTGACCACAATTTGCCATTGATGATAAACGACTTGTCATTGTCATTTCAAGATTACCTTTCAGACCTAATAATGCTGGCAATAATATATAAATTTCGGGCATATTTATAAATACAACCGATGTCTTTTGTATTCAGTGAAGAGAGAATGGAAAAAATGAAAATTTAAATCAATATGAATCAATCAACGATTACTTACTTTGATATGATCAAGTAGAATACCGGCTAAAACCATACCAAAACCGGCAACAAGTAATGGTAATGAAATTTGACGAAGAATTTTCAAACGATTTTCATCATCATTTGTTTTTTTATTTTGTTGATCATCATTTTTTAATAGATTTGATTTGGAACAATCACTTATGTCATCATCATTATTATCATCCTTTCGATAATGATTATTATCCACAATTTTTGACATTTCTTCTTGTTTTGACAATCAATTTTACCCAAATTATTTACAGCTTTAAATTATCATTGAACAACCAAAATTAAAAAGAAAATCGAAATTCGAAACGAAACGGTTATGCGTATTAAACAACCAAAAACAAAAACAAAAATATCTTTGTTTCTATACAATCCAATGATGACAATACCGATAATAATGATGTTAACCAGAAAAAAATATCACACATTATTATATTGCATACGTGTTTCTGTCAATAAACAAACAATCAACCAAAACGAAAATATTAACAAACCAAACCAAAATATTAAAAAAAAAATAAATAAACCGTAAACATGATTATTCATGTTGTGCCATCTATTGATGCAAAATATCATTAAGAGAAGAAAAAAAAATTTTTTAAATTATTCATTTTCTAAAACAAGAACTATGATTATGGATGATAGTTGAGTGAGGTTAGGTTGATGAATATTTCTAAGATTTATGGTTGAGTGAGGTTAGGTTGATGACTATGATTTATAGTTGAGTGAGGTTAGGTTGATGACTATGATTTATGGTTGAGTGAGGTTAGGTTGATGACTATGATTTATGGTTGAGTGAGGTTAGGTTAATGACTATGACCATGACTTATGGTTGAGTGAGGTTAGGTTAATGACTATAACTATGACTGATAAAATTATCATATTTTAAGAAAAAAAATATTGATTATAATATTGATTATTTTTTCAAAGTCTCAAAGTTCAATGTTATTTGATTAATCCGAATTCCATTATCATTATTATTGAATTGAACGAGAAATTTTTTAAAATAATTTCATTCAAACAACAACAACCACTGATGTCATATAGAGAGAGTGAAAAAAAAGGAGAAAAAACCCATAAATCAGTTGGTTTTTTTCTGTTTGTTTTTGTTGTTAGCCAAAATTTATTTAATTTGTTTTTCCAAAATTGTTTTAAATCATAATAATCTTCATCATCATTATCATTATGACAACAGGAAAATGTTTGATTAATATGTTTGGTGGTGTGGTGATGGTTAATGAAATGATAATGATGATAATAATGATAATCCTATGAAAATATTACGGGTTAACAAAAAAAATGACAACAAACAAATTCAAACAAAATCCTGGATAATTTTCTCTGGTTTATAAAAACCAGTGAGTGTTTGATTTTGATTGTCAATATTGCTTTCTGTGTTTAAAATGTCTTTTTTTCGTTATAAAATGTTGTTGTTGTTGTTGTCGTTATTGTTTTTGATTCAAGAAAAATTTTCCGTTGAAACCCAAACAATTAATGATGATTCATTAGCAATATATCCATGGCCCACTGAAACAAGAGAAACATTATCATTAGATGGTATTTGGACATTTCGTATAACAGATTATTCATTCAATAATGAATTATATGGTTTTCAGCATCATTGGTTTAATCAATCATTAGATTTGGTAATTAATGTTATCTAAATTGACATTTTTTTTCATAATTTATTTTCAAAACAAAACAATATAAAAATTAGATTGATGAACATTATGAACGTATGCCAGTACCATCAAGTTTTAATGATATAACTGAAAAACGTAAAATACGTGATTTTGTTGGTTGGTCATGGTATGATCGAAAATTTTTTCTACCAAAAAATTATCATTCAAATGATAATGATATTATAATACGTTTTGGTTCGGTTAATTATAAAGCTATTGTTTGGATTAATGGTAATCATATTATGAATCATACAGGTGGTCATTTACCATTTCAAACAATTATTAAAAAAGATTATCTTCATATGGATAATGGTAATGAAAATCATATTACAGTTGCTGTTAATAATGAATTAAGTCATAATACAATACCACAAGGATCATATAAAATTAAAAATGATACACGTACCAAATCCAATCGAAAATTTATTGAATCAAATTTTGGTTTTGATTTTTATAATTATGCCGGTATACAACGTTCGGTTTTATTGTATTTTGTACCGAAAATTCGTATTACCGATCTTACAATTATAACCGATGTTATTGATCAGAATAATGGTATTATTCATTTTAATGTAACAACAAATATTCAACAACAACAACAAGATAAATTCATTGTTCAAATAGATGTATTTGATCGTTATGGTAAACTAGTGAATAGTTCATCAGGGAAATCTGAAGGTTCATTAATAATACCAAATGTACATTTATGGTGGCCATTTACAATGCATTCTGAACCTGGTTATCTTTATCGTATGTCAATAAGTTTATATCATTCAATTGAAATGAATAAATTAATTGATCGTTATTATCAAAATATTGGTATACGAACTATTCATATTGATAAAGAAAATTATCAATTTTTAGTTAATGGACAGCCATTTTATTTTCGTGGTTTTGGTAAACATGAAGAATATGATATTAGGGGTAGAAGTTTAGATCCAGTTATGATTATTAAAGATTTTAATCTTATTAAATGGATTGGTGCAAATTCATTTCGTACAAGTCATTATCCATATTCGGAACAAATAATGGATGAAGCTGATATACAGGGTATTGTTGTTATCGATGAATGTCCTGCTGTTGGTTTATCCGCATTTAATCCGATATTATTAAAACAACATTTACAAACAATTCGTGAAATGATTGAAAGAGATAAAAATCGTCCATCAGTATTTATGTGGTCAATTGCAAATGAAGCATCATCCGGTAAAATTGAATCAGAAAATTATTTTCAAAACGTTTCCGAATTAGCCCGGCAATTAGATCAATCAAATCGACCAATAACAGCTGCTGATAATCAATATAATCAAGATTATTTACCACAATTTTTAGATGTTATTATGATTAATCGTTATTATGGTTGGTATAGTGATACGGGTTATCCACAAATAATCAAAGAAAATTTAATCAATGATTTTATAAGAATATGGAAAAAATATCAAAAACCAATAATGATTTCGGAATATGGTGCCGATACAATTAGTGGTATGCATCAACAACCAAGTATTATATTTACTGAAGATTATCAATCCGAGATAATGATTGAAAGTCATCAAGCATTTGATCAATTACGTTCGAAAGGATTTTTTATTGGTGAACATATATGGAATTTTGCCGATTTTATGACACAACAATCATTAACAAGAGTTGGTGGTAATAAAAAAGGTATATTTACCCGACAACGACAACCAAAAACATCGGCAAGATTATTACGTTGTCGTTATTGGATGTTGGCTAATATTACCAATCATGATTATCATGACGATGAACATAGTCAAGGTTTTAGTTATTGTCCAAATGTTCAATATTTTTGATTTTTCTAATTTTTGATATAAAAACTCAATAAAATTCATTTATTTCATTTAACTAAAATCAAATCAAATCGAAATTTGTTTTGAATAAATAAAAAAAAACAAACAAACAAACAAAACGAAACAAATCAATACACTAATCAAATGGTTGAAAATTCAACAAAAAAATATTCATTAGAAATTCTAGTTTTTTTTCCTAAATTTTTTTTAAAGTTTGGCTTGTTCGTGTTGATTATCGATTGGTTCTAATGATGCAACAGCCGGTTTATTATCGGTAAAATTTTGCCACCATTTAACACGTTCAAATGTATTTGTATTCATTTTCATTGCTTGATAAATATGTTTATAGATATCACCATCCGAATAACCTAATACAGAATTTAGAATAAAATCTGGTGGTGCAATTGCATCAACAATCGATATAGCATCTGGTTTGATTAATTCACAAAGTTGTAATATTGTTTGTCGTATTGAACGATTTGCTTCGGGTCCATTATAATAACCACTTTCATATAATATTGATGAATGTGAATCTAATGACCAAAGACCATACAGTATACCCATACGTGTTAATACTTGTCGTATTGAATCAGGTATATCATCAGCTAATTCTTCAGATAAAAATTTTGAATAACGTAACATAATAAAATGTTCAATAAATGCAAATGATAATGAACGACAATAATAAACCTATCAAGTGTTTGTTAAAAGAAACAAACAAACAAAAAAAGTTAGATAAATAATTTGTTCAGTTGATATTGACATTATTATTAGTATAATTAACCTACTTGAGAATTAGAACGTGCAACAAATAAATCACCGGATGATTGTTTCAATTCATTATCTAATTTATCAACAGATCGTAATAATAGATATGATACAAGAAATCGATATGTACGTAATATAAAATCAATACTGCAAACATTTTCACCTGGTTCATAACGTAAACGTTTAACATTATCATCAACATTACGTAATATTTCAATCGAACCCATTTGTGATTTAAATTCATCATCAGCATTATTATCGATAATTATTTCATCCAAATCATCATTGCCATTACCATTACCATTGCCATTACCATTATTATTACGATATTGGGTATTAAATTTTTTATATTTACTAATAAGAAAATTGCTTGTTTGCATTTGTAAAACATTATTATCTCCTTCATAGGTATTATTAGCATCATGATCATCACGTAATTCACCAAGACGTGATGCAGCTAAATAACCATGACCACCACATGCTTCACGACATTCTTGTATTGTATCACGACATAACCAACCGGATATTGGTTTTGCTGCACAAGCAACAGCATGTATTTCTTGTCCTAATTCAGCTAATGATGGTGAACTAGTACCAAATAATACGGCTACTTGAAAATTTAAAAAATCTCTTAAAAATGATTGACAAAATATATCTAAAACATAGGTGGCTGATAAATAAGGAAATAAACGCCATTGTTGCATTTGATATTCAATAACAGGCCATTCTATGGTTGGATTTGATCGTGGACCAAATTGCCGCCGTGCAGCTGAATATCTTATACCGATTGTTATGGCTGTTTTCATATTTACAATCGATATCGATAGAATGCCAACACGTCCCATTGATAATGTGCCTAATGTAATACCGGTACGATGTTTTTTATCTTTAATTGTTGTTACATAATCACCCGATGAATCAATATCACCAGTACGATTCATTAGACAACTTTTTGGTATACTAGAAAAAAAATCAGATCATTATTTGAATCGATTGATTGATTAATTTTAACAAACCGATAATTTTCGAATGCAGCAAATCCATTATCCAAACCGTTAAGACCGATTTTTGGTCCCATATCACCAATAATAACACCCGGATATGGTAACAATGTTTTTGGATTACGTATTGGCACTATAAATGCACTCAGACCATGATTACGATCATTAACATATAATTGAGCAAATGTAACAGCATGTGTAGCAGTTTGACCCATATTACCGGACCAAACTTTTGTTGATTCAAAATTAGGTGTATTCAATATGAATTCTTGAGTGTTTAGATCAAAATCAGCTCTTGTACCCATTGCTTTTGTATTAGAACCATGTGATAATTCAGTTAATGCAAAACAACCAATAGCTTCAAAACTTAACATTTGATCAAGTATTGCTAAATGACGACTTGAACCAGCACCACGTAAACTAATTGTAACAAATTCACGTGCAAGAAATTGTTTTGCTGATAATGACCAATCATATTGACCAAGTGCATTATATAATTGTTGTGTTAATAATGGATTCTGTATGAATTCATCATCGGGTAATAAATTATATTCCATTAAACGTTTTAAACGTTTAAATGTTATTTCACGTTTTTCATCACGTGTTAATTCTTCAATCGGTGATCGTTGAAATAATGGATCATTTTCTAATGTACGAAATATACGATTACGAAAACGTATTACTTGTTCACCTTCGATAATTAATTTCAGATCACGCCAATCAAATGATGCCATACGACGATATGGTGATAATGGACAATTTTCAGGTAATGATGGCATCATTTGTTCAATATCTTGATCATTATGTTCTGGTTTACGTCCTTGACGTATTTGAAATTTTAATAAACTATTATCAATATCCATTTTGATCAAATCAAATCAAATTTAAAAGATTAACGAAGAAGATACACACAAACTAATTTCTGAATGAACCGATGATGATGATGATAAAAGTTTACGTTTTTTTTGTGTGTGTGTGGTGTCCGGAAAATTTTTTCGTAAAGATATTTTCTTCGTCGACGTAAGGATTTTTATTTTTGTGTGGCACTTTTCACTTTGAAAAACAAACAACAACAAAAACAACGAAATTTTTTTTTTGGGGTAAAATATTTCTGTCAAATCACAATTTCGATCGGGTATCACATCAGAAAAAAAAACAACGAATAAGGAAGAATAGATAACGAAAAAAACGACTATTGTTCATTTGTGGATATTTGGTTGATCGGTTGGTTAAATTGTTGGTGAGAAACTTGTTTTTTATTTGAATCTTTCGTTTTTTTTGGGTAAAAAAAATCACTGTATTTTTTTGCACTGAAAACTGAAAAAAAAAATTCAAACAAAACAAGGCAAATAATGTTTTTCTATGTTTGTTAAAAATGACAAAATTTAAATTCAAATGAAAACAAAATCAACATAATCATTGAAGGTTTTATATTGAAAAAAAATAAATTGAATTTTTTTTTTCTTCTTCTTGAAAACTCGTGATTAATAATAATGATGATGATGACCATTACACAGGTCTGATGATAATGATAATGATGATGGTGGTTGATAAAAATCTTCTGTTTTTTTTGAATGTGCGGCGCTCGTGTGTTTAAAAATAACTAAAAATAGCTTTTTTTTAACAAACGTTGTTATAAAGAAGAAAAGAATTGAATGGAATTTTTCCTTAATTTTCTTCTTTAATCACATAAACAAAAAATTTGCAACAACCAAAATTGATTGGAAAAAACGAAACAAGAAATTCAATTTGAATGGAAATAACACAGCATACAGATTCATCATCATCATTTTGGATTGAACAAACTGAACATCGATTACATTTACATCATCATGATGATTTGATTCAATCGATCATAATCACAATCATTTTGTTTGTTTGTTTGTTTGGTAAGAAAATGAAACGTTTGTTCACATCATTTTGTTGTTGTTGTTGTTGTTTTGGTCAACAAACAAACAAAATCCAGGAACAACAACAACAACAAAATTAGATTTGATGATGACGTTGGATTATAATTTCTTTCTTTTTTTTCTTACATTTTTGTTGTTGTTGTTGTTGTCTGAATGAATTATAATGATGAGAATTTATTTATTTTCCTTAAAACGAAATGGAAAAAAGAAATCTGGATGCAAACTTTTCCATCATTGACATCACATCAACAAATTTGATAAAGAAAAAAATGTGTGAAGAATTGAAAAACGAAAAACGAAAAAAAACACTCTCTAATGATGATGATAACAACAACAACAACAACAGGTTGACCGAGCAGGTGAATGAATGAAATTGAATTGAATTGAAGAAAATGTTGAGAAAGATGATGTTGTTGTTGTACCTGGAATAACCACTTTTTTTCTTTTTTCATTTCTTCAACAACTATTGTTGCTGTTGTTGGTGGTGTTTTTTAATCACATTAGCCATACCATATAATCATCATTATGATTGGATTTTTTTCATGCAAAAATTAACATAATCTTTGTCATCATTTTGGATAGGTTTTTTTTTCATTTGTAGAAAGGATTTCTTCTGAACAAAGAAAAGAAAATTCAAATAGAATGACATCATTCATATATCACATCCTGATTAGGATTTTTTCTTTTGTTGGCTTTTCCAAATCCATTATTTCATTTTGTTGTTTGATGAGATTTGTGGTTTTTTTGCGTCTGTCTGTCTGTTTGAATATTGGAATTGCAATGTCAAAATGTAATTTTTGACGATAAACAACGATAAATGATGATGATGATGATGATGATTTGAATGTCCATTTTGGAACACAAAAAACAAAAAAGAGAATCAGGTCAGGTCTTTTTATTTGTTTTGTTTTGTTTCAATGTGAATTTTTCTATGTCTTTCTGTCCTCTCTGTGTGTTCCAGAAACAATCAAACAAACAAAATGGGCAAAGTTCGTGGCAAAAAAATTGTTCATTTGTTTGCTTACTTATTACATATTTAGTGGTGATTTTTTTCATTTGTGTTTCTCTTTTTTTTAGTTTGAAAATTTGACAACGAAAAACAAAAAAATCTTACAATAATGTGCGAGATGAACAAACGTTATTCCTTCCCGCGCACAACCCGATCGTAAATCGTCTTAGAAAATATTAAGATTTTCCGACAACAACAACAACAACAACAACATCGGCCTCATTTGTTTATCTCGACAAATTTACTTACTTACATTACCATTATTTGTCGATCGATTTGATGTTGATGATGATGATTATGGAAAATAACTGTCGAAAAATTTCAACCAAAAAGTATTAAAAAAATAGGGGGAAAAATTATTATTATTATTGCGGATAAAGTTTTTGGGATTTTGTTTTTTGTAAAAAATTTTCGAAACAAAAACCGGTTTTTGTCATTGTTGTTGTTGTTGTTTAAGATTGATGAAAATAATGGACAATCTCTCTCTCTCTTCATCTCTATCTTTCTAGCCATAATAGTAATAATTGTTCTCTCTGGATAATTTTTCTTTTCCAAAAAGATTATCCATTTTGATGATGATATTTTTGTTTACATCGATGGATATTGTAAACGGTTGATATGAATCAAAAACAAATGCTGTGCTGACATCTGTCACATTTACTTTGTACTTTTTCGGTATTTTGATTTTATAGTAAAGCTAAAATGGTTCTATTTATATGTTTAAAAAAAATGAAAGAAATTTTCAAAATCAAACAAAAATCATGATTATCATTTTTTTTTGTTGGTAACGTTAACACTCCAGTATTCTCATTCCAGTACTTTTATCTATATCTAATTTAGTTTTATAAAAATTTTTTTTTGTTTGAAATGGACTTTATATTTATATAATGTATAAAAATCTCTCTAGAGTACAATTAATTCCGTTTTCATTACAATATATGAAACTCTTTGCTTTCTCCTATAGTTGTGTTTATAATCACCAACATCAACATCAACACATTGCATTCTTTATGAACATTCCCGTTCATAATATTCATGAAAACATGATTATGGATGATACCATTATTTTTTTCCATTTCGAGAATGAGCTAGTTTTTATGCACCCAGGTATCCTTTTATGTGTTATGTATCAAATTCCCAATAGAAAATGAAAATCTTTTAAAAAAATCAAATGCATGGATAATTTTGTTTTTGAAAAAAAAACAAAATGAACAATGAAATTAAACTAAATTAAAATGAGTAAAAATGATGATGAGGGAATAATGTAAAATCATTTCATTCAAACAATAAATAGATGGCGCTCAGTTTGTTGTTTGTGGAGAATTTTTCTATAAAAAAAAATCAAATGACATCAGAAGTGAATTTTGTTTTTGTTTTTCTTCAAAAAATGCATCACTAATTTTTATCGAAAGTGAAATTAAATTTCCAAAGAATTTTGAGAAAATTTAACAAAAAAAAATTCCATTATCTTCAAACGGGAATTTTTTTTGATTAAAAAAAACTGATTAAAAAAAATCACACTTGTGTTATCATCATATTCAATTTGGCTTTTGTTTTAATCAAATTCTATATTTATTTAAACTGAAAAAAAATATGAAACTTTATAATTTTCATCTAATAATAATGATGATGATGATGGTGATAAACTTGATTCCATTGCATTCCATTCATCCATATACATATAGAATGTGGAAAGTGAGTGAGAGTTTAATCAAAGAAAGAAAAATAAAGTGAATTTTGTTTTTTCCTTTATTATTCTTATTATTTTTCCATAATTAGGTTTAATCGTAATTAAACTTGATACTATGATGATGATGATAATGATAATGACGGTAATGTTTTTTCTTTTTTCGTTTTTTGTTTTAAAAATGATTATAATGAATGTGAGCATAGGGGTAAAAAGAAAAAACCCTTTTTTTTCATAAAAATCTACCGTGATGTTGATGATGATGATGATGATGAACGAGAATCCAGGAATTAATCCAAGAAAAAGAATTTCAACAAAAAACAAAAGAATTATTCTGGGCTAAGAATTTGAAGTGAGAGAGAGAGAGAGAGAGAGAGAGAGAAGCTAGACAAACTTGAACAAATATCCACATATGTCTTTTCACTAACTTATTATTTAGGATCATTATTTAAAACAACAACAAACAAACAAACAAACAAACCCAATTTTGAAAATCATTAAAAAACAAAACAAAAAAAAAGAATAATTATCATTATTATTATAGTGTGTAATGTGTATTGTTAGTTGTTGTTTTAACCCTTTTCTTCCAACAACAACAACAATGACTTACAATTATATCAGGAAAAACTTACTGAAACGAAAGTCAATTATTTTATTTTATTTTTTTTCTTAACACTTTTTCGGTCGAATGAATAAAATTGTCATCATTATTATCATCATCAATGTTTTTATCCTCGAAATGTTCAGTTTTTTGTCGCTTTCTAAAACATAAGTTTATCTCTCTCTCTCTGTGTTTCAAGTTCTGTAATGTTTTTATCGGACTGCATTGTTTTTTTTTTAAATCGATTGTCGTTTGTTGTTGTTGTTGTTGTTGTAATGATGATGATGATAATATAAATATTCTAGACGAAAACAACAACAACAACAAACGATTAAAACAAAATGATTATGGGCACCCATTATTAAAAATAATGATGATTATCATCGTCATCATGAATTTTTTTCTCTACTCTAAATATAAAGAAAACAAAAAAATGAAGAAATTTTCTGCCATTATCATAACCCTTTTTCAAGAAACAAAAAAAAATCTTAATGTAAAGATTTCCAAAGAAACTTTACCGAAACAAACAAACTTGACAAAAATCATTATGCAGGTTATATTCATTCAGCATAATGGTAAACTGCATTCAAATTCCAAAAACAAAAAAACGAAAATTATAAATGTTTTTGATGATCATAATAATATGTGGACGTCATTATTACTATTATATTTATATTAAAAAAAAACAAACCTAAAACGACCAAAAGATCTTCAACCAACAAAAAAAAACCTGAATCACCAATCAAATATTAAATGTATATAAATATTATAGTTATAACAAACAACAACAACAACAACAGAATACAAAACGAAAAACACATAACATAAACGTAAATATGGGAACCAATGAATAATTGATTTTGTGTCCAACCAGAAACAAATATAGAAATACATACATACATTGAGAATATTCTTTACACAGAATATCCCCCCCACCAAAAAAAAATATATAACTACTTTATTTCTATATTTTTTTACATTCATTCATGATGATCACTTCATATACAATGAATGAATGAATGATCATCATGATGATGATGATCAACATTTTCATGTTATTTTTTATGGCTTAAACGTACGTTATCATACGTTATCATTATTATTATTATTATCGTGTACACGTTTTGATCATATACTAAAAGAAAAAAAAACTAATTTCTATCTTTTATTATTATTATTATTATTATCGTCATCATCATCATCATCATAATCATCATCGTCGTCGTCGTTGTTTTTATTTTCGGGAATATTCTCGGGTGTGGTGTAGTGGACCTCTGATAGATTGAAAGATTGAAAGTGAAAATTTTTTTTTTGTTTTTTGAAACTGAAAAACAAAATGAAAATGAAAATGAAAATGTTAAACGAAGAACAAAAAGTAGATCAAATTCAAAAGAATGTTAAGAACTTTTTGGTTTGGTTGATCGATAGTTGAATGTGGCATGATTTTGTTTAGGAAAATTTGAAAAACGGTAGCTTTTTTGAAACCAAACAAAAAAAAAGAAGTGATCAAATGAATCAATTTTTACTTTGTGATAGGACTATGATGATAATTTTACTAATTTATGAATGATCATTATCAATGATTTTACTTTCATTCATTCATTGTCGTTATTGAATGATGAATATTTTCGTTTGGTTTCGGAAGAAGAAAAAAAAACCAAGATATTGTCGAAGTCAAAGTTAATAATTTTTATTTTTCCATCATCAAAAATTATGATGATGATGATGATGGTAGTTGAGAGTTTCATTTGATCAAATTAAATTTTGTGTTTGGTAAAACATCGCAAGACTCTCTCTCTCTCTCTCTCTCTCTCTCTCTCTCTCTCTCTCTCTCTCTAAGCGAGGATGTATCAGTTCGGGGAAATTTCGTTTATAATTTTGCTAAAATAATTGCTTTTTTTTTGTTTTGTTTATGGATTCCAACTTGAAAGTTTGAAAAAAAAATTACATCCAAATCCATCATTGGGGAAAATTCTGTTTTTTTTTATTATCACCATCATCATCATTTTATCATTTCAATGTCCCACACACACACATACACAGATGATGTTATAGTTTAGTTATGTAGTTTTTTTTATGGACTTACTTATTATTATTATGGTCGTTTTTTTTATTAACAACTTTCTTTTTTTTATATTTTCTATTCATCATCATCATGAATGAATGAATTTGGGTAGAGAATATCGAAAATTGAACAACAACAACCAACCGAATAATCGATTTTCATCGATATTTTATCAATGAATGATCCTAATGAAATGAAGAAAAAAAACGAAAGACCTGAGGCTTCTGTGTTGTTGTTTCGGTTGGATCAATTGGTCGAGTGGTTCGTCAATTGATTATCGAGAGACAAGAAAAAAAAACAAAATTATTATTGATATTATCCATGTTGAAAAAAATACAACCAATACTTAAACTATTGATTGTTTTCGGGGAAAAAAAACAATTTTGTTTCATTCATGTTTAGCCAGCCCAAAAAATTTTCAAACTCAATGTTATCACAATATTGATCAAGGATGATCGATGACGTTAATTGATTGATTGATTGATTGATTAGTTTTTTTTCGTTTCGTTCTGGTTATTTCTGGTTTGAATTCTAGAATAGATGATGTAGGAAATTTGAAATTGAAATTTAGTTTCATCATCATCATCATAAAAAACCATAAAAATGATTGATATACAATCGGAATAGGTGAAATTTTTTTTTTGTTTCATTTGACAGGTTGTATGTGTGTGTAAAATTGAAATTTATTTGAAAATATTTCAATTTCATTGTCAAAAAAAAAAATGAAAGTCATTGAAATTTCATTGGAAAAAAATATGTGTGTGTTTTTTCAATGCAAAATGAATGAATATTCTGGATGAATTTGGCAACAACAACAACAACAACAACAAAAACTGGGTGCAATCAATTTTTGAATATTTCATTTGATCATCATTTTGTCCTCGAATGCCCTCAAGGTTGATTCAACCAAAATTGAAAATTGAAAATCTGTTTTTTTTTGAAACTAAAAAAATATGAATTTATTGCATCCGATTTGATTTTTGATATTGATAATGTTACACCTGTGTTCATGTGTGTGCGTGAGCTTTGATTTTGAAATAAAAAAATATTGAAATACAAAAATTCAATTTGATATAAATATCAGGTAAATTTCGGATTTATTTGGTCATGATCATCATAAAATTCACAGTAATAAATCAACGATTTAATTTCAAATCTTTTTTTTTCTCGTAAAATAACGAAATTACAAAAAAAAATTTAATTACCGACATTAATCATGGCAACATTGACAAATTATTCAACATTTATTTTATTTTTCATTACATTATTTATCATTCAGATTGAATTGATACAAATGTATCCAACAACAACTGGTAGTATGGGTATGGGTAATGTTAATGATGGTTATTATTATGATGGAAATAATAATTATTATCCATCATCATTATATCCAACATCACAATCAATGATGAATCAACAAGATTATTATCAACTACAACAACAACAACAATATCCGATTATGACAAATACAAGACGTCGTCCACATATACGTTCAGATGTACGTAAAATATTGGTTGAAAAATTATCCACCGATGCTGATCATCACAATGATGATAATCATCATCAACGTTCATCATCAAAACAACAACAACATCATTTATGTAATGCAACAATAATATCATCACGTCGTTTATTAATACCGAATGAATGTTCACCAAATGGTTATAATCGTATGGAAACAATTCAATTATATAATCCTGATCAAAATCAAAATAATGATACAAAAATCATACAACGACAAGGTCGTACTATTGTTCGTTTACAACGATCAAAATCAAGTCTTGTTGAATTGAATGAAACAATTCCCGGTACTACAGATAATGATGATAATAATGTTAATGGCCAATTTCGACAAGAAAATTTTCAATCACCACCATCATTGAATGAAGAACCAATTTATAATGATGATAATTATGATGATTTAGATGGTCGACAATATTTACCAATCTTTCCGCCAATGCCACCACCACCGATGCCACAACCAATGCCACCAATAATACCTGGTTATATTTATGAATATGAATATTTTGAATATCAATTTTGTCGACCATTACATATTGAGATAAGTATTTGTGAATTATGTATATGGATACCGAATGTATGTCCAATCATGTTCTGAAATGAAAAAAAACATCGATTTTTCAATAACGATGATTAACGACGACAACGACAAAAAAAACTGAATTTAATTGAAAAAATCTTGATAAAATGAATTTTCACGCAGAAAAAAAAATCACAAATTAAAAACTTATTGAACTAAATAACTTTGACAAACATTTACACACACACCGACACACTTCAAACAAGATAAAATCCCATATTTTTCCCCCTAAAATCACAGGAAATCTTAAGTTAAAAAAGAAGAAAAAAACATTTTTCGTAATTCCCACCAAGAGAAAGATTTCGAAGAAGATTGAAGAAAAACCTATTATTGAATGCGTAGGCGAGAATCAAATAATAATAATGAAAAAAAACATGATTTTATCAAACATAATTTCAAAAATTTTCATCATGCATCTTCAATATCAACCTTAACAACAAACTAAATGTTATTTTTCTTCTTCTTTTCTATTAATTTTCTCTTCAATTAAAGCAATTTCGTTTACCTTTTTTTTGCAATAATTTTCATTTACCTTTACAATTCCTATAGTAAACAAACACACAAAAACACACAAAAATACATTCCAAAATTCAATAATAACAATAAATCTTTTTTATTAAAATTTTTTCGTTATCCGTAAATGTCATCATCATCATCATCATCAAATTGCATTACTTTTGAATTGCGAAAAATTATTATTATTATTATTTTTGATGATGAACATAATGGGAAAATGATAAAAGATAAGATGCTTACAGAGAGAAAAGAAAATGTTTTCTTCTTCTTTTTGTTGATTTTATCTGGCAATCTTGCAATTAGGTTTTTGCAACGAATTAGTTTACCTTTTTTTTAGTAAATCATTGCTGCAAAGAAAAAAACCACCACCACCACCACCCTCGCACGAACAAACAACGTCAAATCAATTCCATCATCATCATCAACGATAAAAGAAAAAGAAAAATTCATTTTGTCACCCAAGCTAAAAAAACAAAGATTTTCTTGAAGAAAAAAAAATTTCGTGTTCCACAACACAAACATGAAAACAGCCAATGTTCATCATCATCATCATCATCATCATAATCATCAAATCTTTTTTTTTCAAGTATATAAATAAAAAAACTACCACCACCATCGATGAGTGAATTAAGGCAATGGGTAGGGTAGTAAATAAGTAAAAATAATAATAATAAAAAAGTAAATCAAATCTTTATATATGATTAAAAGCAATGCAATGCAATGATGGAATGCATCGAAGCAAAACAAATATAAATCAACAGCACACACACACACAACACATAGCATAGACAAATATAAATGCACGCACTTCCGATTTTATTTTATTTATTTTTTTTTTTACTTTTACATTTACTTTCTGGTTGTTGTTGTTTTTACATTCTATCAATTTATTTTGGGTCCTGAATGAAAGAAAAAAGAAAAAAATTTTGTTAATGTTAATGGCAGAATTTTTGTTTGTTTGTCCCAGTGAATAAAATGAGTGTAGAGAGAAATTCGTCAACAAACAAACCTTTAAGACTATGAAGATGTTGTTGTTGTTGATGAAATGATCTTGATGATGTTGCTGATGAAAAACTTAATCAACTTATCTCCAATGGTATAATCTTCTTAACTACTTTTTTTTTCTTTTCTTTTTCGTTTTTTTTTCTCCTCGATTCCATTTTCCATCCATCCATCCATTCATCTATTCCATAGAATTTGTATGTTTTTTTCTTTTCTTTTTTTTGTTGTTTGGCTAGATTGAATCTTGTCATTGGTTTTGGTACAAAAAAAAATATATATTTTGTAACCGGAATGTATTTTTTTTCTTCTCTGAATTCAAATCACTCTATTATTACTATTACTTTTTATTAATAAAAAATACACACACACCCCTCACTTCTTTTTTTACTAAGTTATTTATATTTACTTTTACTTTTACTTTTTAGTTTAGTTTTAGTTTAGTTAGATTGATTGATTCCAGTTTAACTTTTAGTAAATTTATTTACAAACGATAAATAAATAAATAAATCTTGGATATTTTTGGTACAAAGTGAATAAGTAGGTGTGTGTTTGGGGATGTGTTTGGATTCTTGAATTTGATTAACACTTGTGTGTACACTGTCATCATCATCATCAATAAGTGAAATATAAAAAAACAGCAAACTCAAATTCCAGGAGAGAAAGAAAACAAAAAGAATCACAGAAAATACATCACACACACACACACACTTGTACGGAAATTATATAAGAATTCTTTGAATGTTTCTTTTTCTTCTTATAAAAAACAAAAAGATTTTCTTCTTCTTTTTTTTATTATAAGAAAATACAACAACAACAACAACAACAAAACGTAATAACTTTTATTCTACTTCTATTCGACTAACTATAAATTCTTTCTATAAATTCTATACGGTGATGTGTATGATGATGATGTAAAAAAAACGTTGATTCCATTTTCATTCCATTATTATTAATTCCATTACATATGATGTACATGAAAAAGAAGGATGGTTGGTTGAGATGGATTGATACAAATTTTTATTTTTGTTGTAAATTGAAACATTGAGAAATTCTTTTCCATTCAATATCGATGTGTGTGTGAGTTATTGAATGAATGAAATTTCATTGATGATGATGAGAAATATTCCTTATAAACACACTTAGAAATATGATATAAAAGTTAATTTTATTCCCAAAAAACATTTTCCTCTCTTTTTTTTCTTCAAAAAAAAATTCATTTTGAATATTCAAACAAAAACAAATGAAATAAAAGATACTCTTCTCCCAAAAGATTTCCTATTTTTTTCAAACTAAAAAAATTTCAAAATCAAAATAATTTTGATTAAAACATTTTTGATGATGAAACAAAATAAGAAAATTCAATTGTCACCATCATAATTGATTAATTTTATCAAAAATTTTTTCAAAATAAAATTCAGTTTTGTTTCATCATTTTTCTCTCACCAAAAAACACACACATCGAATTTCAACAACAACATTGAAATTTAAACATCATTTAATTTTCGATCTTTTGCAAAAAAGAATCATTTTTTTTCTTTTCTTCACACACTAACCTTTTTCTCTCTTTCAACTTTCAAAATGAACATCATCATCTTTTTTTCGTTGTTGTTGTTGTTCATAAATAAAGAAAACAACAACAAAAATATTTGAAATTCTTTTCATTCTTTTCAAGCAGAAAAAAATAGGAAAAATTCTTTTTTTGTTTCCTATAACCCATATCTGTTATGTAATTTAACACGGAAAAAATTTTTTTTTGAACATAAAAGTGTGCAGTGAATTGAAGAAAATGGAAACGAAACTTTTGAATTCTTTAACTTTAATGTTTCATATTTGTGTGTGTGTGTGTGTGATGGGCAGAAAATTTGATTTTGATTGGCCCATTCTGTATATGCTATATTTTTTTCCCGAAAACTTTTCTTTTCTTTTTTCATTTTTGTATCGTTTTTTTTTCCGGAAAATATTTTCTTCCTTCAATTTCAAATCGAAATCGAAGTGAAGAAAAAAAAATATCATCAACAAACCAAACACCAGTGTATCATCTTTTTTTCAACCATCAACGACAGATATTGTCATTTGCCAATTCTGTTTTTACTCTGTAATTTGTCGGGAAAAAAATGGCAGAAAAAAAAACTTTTCACTCTCTTGGATTCATTTCGGTGTGTGTGTGTGTGTGTGTTTGTGAAACAGAATCGTTGACATTTGAACTTTGAAATGAAAAATAAATAAATAAAGTATATAATTTTCCGTATCGATCGGGGTTTTCTTTTTTTGATTGGGAAAAACCGAGGAAAAACTTTCAAATGACAATAATTATTGTAAATGTTGCAAACAAACAACCGAATCGAATCAAATTTTACAATTTTATCGTTATGATCATCATCATTAATTTTCAATGTTCATTGTTCAAATGTTTTTATTGTTATTGTTATTTTATTATATAATCATTAGATCATTCCAAGGTCAAAGGTAACGCGTGTTTCTTTTTTTATTGTTAGTATATATATAGTACGTGTGCACAAATGAAAATAATAATAATAAAAGGGCAGGGCAGATCAGCATAGTAGAGTTCGAGTGACACATTCAATAATCAGTAATTTCTTGAATATATCCAGTCGATTTTGATCTGTTTGTTTGTTTGTTTCAAAATGGTCAAATTTTTTTTTGTGTCCGGGACAATTCCGACTTTTTCGGTTTTGTTTTTTTCCGTGTATTCATTCATCAATCAATCAACAGTGCAAAAAAAACGAACAAATCTGTTTTGTCAAAGAGAAAAAATCCCAAATTTATTATTATCATCACCTTTGTTTTTTTTTGTTCATTAAAATTATAACCAAAAAGTAATTAATCATTAAACATAATATGCATACAAAATATAGCAAATCAAAATAAGGATGAACCACCACCACCAAAAACTATTAAATCTTTTTTTTTTTGCTTTTTTTAATTACATTAAAGCGCACACACACACTATCATAAAAGTTATACAATGTCTATGTTTATCGCGTACAATGTTTCAAACACCCACACGCATATTGAATTGATTAAAATGACAGTTTGTATTTTTCGTTCGGTCGGTCGGTCGTTCGGAAATCAAGTCAAAATTTGTCGCTCTCTTTCACTATGGATATTCACATTTACATTCCATAATGAATTTGATTTTAGGGAATTATGTAGATTTTTTCCCATTCAAGATTTACCTAAAAGATGATGGATATTAAACCAGAAGACAAAAAAAACCAGAAAATAAAACTGAGAACCAGAAAAAAAATTTTATGATAAACATTTCAATTATCCATTTCCATTTTCATTTTCATTCAATTATTTATCATCAAATGGAAAATATCGTTCGTTTGTTGCCTTGTTTTTATATTGAATTCATAATGAATGAATGAATGAATGGAAAAACAAAGTTGAACAAACAAGAAAATGATGTTTGAAGAATGAAAGAAAGAAAAGAAAATAAAATTATTATTATCAATGAGAAAAGGAAAAAAAATTTTTTCGTTTCTCATTTCTCGTCCTGAA